AGGGCCCATCCTAAAGACAAGTCCAGTGTGGGGAGGTGGTACAGTATTGACCAAGGCCTTTTACTTAGAAATAATCCTGCCTTGATTTGTGCCAAGGAAGGAAGGCTACTCTGTATACCATGCTGTATAAGATAAACCTTCCATCCCTACCTTCTGGCTTTACTGCCTAATTAAACTTGTGACTTTTTTCTTTTCATTCTTCAGCTTATATTGCGAAAGATGTAGCTTCTCAAAAATTGATTAATTGCTTAATAAGGAATTTGTGAATATATGAGAGACTTGAAGTATATGTGGCTTTAAAAGATGGCAAAGAAGGGAGAAAACATAGCACCCATAGAAATATTCCAATTGGATGATAAACATATCTTAAGGATTTGTGAATCATTAATGGTGCCACAAAGTTATAAATATAGATATTCTTTCTTTTAAAGAACAGATTAATGAATGTCTTCGTTATGTGCAACAGTGTCTCTGGTACAGATCTTTCTTCTTTTTTTTCCCCTCCCCATTCCTCCCAGGATGCAGCATCTTTAGGATCTCAAAAGGGCGGGATAACAAAACAAGGATGGCTGTACAAAGGCAATATGAATAGTGCAATCAGTGTAACCATGAGGGTATGTTTTTGCTAATGTTCTAGTCTCTGAACAAAAAAGTTTATTTATAGATATTTTAGTGTAGTTCTACTTTGAAAAGTACAGTTGGCTTTTATTAAAAAGAGTTTGAGCATGAACCTTCTGCTTAGCTTATTGGAAGCCAAAAACAAACATTTTCAAACTTTCCACTAAATTAAACTAAATAGAGAAAATTCCTTGAAGTTCATGGAATCATGGAAAGAACATTCTTCTGATTAAGTAGGTGCTTTTTATACAATAAATATCCTCGTTATAGCTATGTTATATGGGACTTTTCATGTGCCCAAGTATCCTACATGCCTTGCTTTTCTTCATAAAATACATTACTTCTGTATTGTGCTCATGACAGCCCTACAGGTATAGAGAGTTTTTTAAGTTCTGGTGAAACTGAGTGAGAAGGGAGTACAAATTAACTTTCAGGTCCCAAGTCAAGTTTGCAGACTGTTAGATTAAAAACAAACAAACAACACCCTTCCCCCTCACCCCCCAAAAAAACAACAACCCCAAAACAACATGATTTCTGGTTTCTGCAGTATCTTCGGAGTGGGATAAAACGCACTTCGTTCCTAAATTCCCTTTCATGCTTCGTTTTGTTTATTCAGAATAAAACCTGAAGTCCATGTTCATGTATTATACATAAAGTGTGTTGTTTTGAGTGGGGCTATTTTACATTCCTTTCATCTTGGTCAAACATACATACAGCCATTATAATATGATTCATAAGTTGTTTCCATACCTCCTCATTTGTCAGTATAAAGAAACATTTCCCCCTGTTTTTTGGAAGTAGTTTAAATAGACAGTTAATAGTAGGCAGTTAAATAATAGAAGCTTTTATTTTTAAGGTACGTGTACTTATAGTGTATAATAATACAGCATGATTATAGCAGTTATAGTTTTGTGATAAGAAACTAATAATTAAAGGGAAGATTTACTTGTTTTTACTAGTCATTTAAAAGAAGATTTTTCCACTTAATCCAACTTGGCGATGGATCATATAATCTCAATTTCTACAAAGATGAAAAAATATCTAAAGAGCCAAAAGGATCGATATTTCTGGATTCTTGTATGGGTGTTGTTCAGGTAAATATCATGTATTATTTAATTTTCTTTCTTCTCTTTTTCTGACTGTATGGAGATAAAGGTAGATGACCACATGAGTCTTTAAGGTGCCAGCCTGCCCTGCCTTTTTCCAGGCTGCAGATCAGACTAACTTGGTCAGAGGGGCATAAGCTTTCATAGGCAATGGCCTATTTCATCAAATGCATTTCTGAACAAGTTAGTCTCTTAAGGTGCTGCCCTGCTCTGCTTTCTATATGTAGATAGAAATTGATTTGACCTGTATTTTTCATAATTTAGGAGGAGATATAATAATTAAACATTTACTACATTCATTTAAACAGGTAAAACATGCTACATTTTAGGGGGGGAAAAGGTCAGTTTTTAGGACTCTCTATTTTCAATTTGTAAATTGGTGATTTTGAAAATGAAGAGTCATTGGTGTATTCAATGTGTGGAAAAACACGTGAAGTCAAGCAGGAAGGCAAAAGACATACAAAAAGTTTTAAGAGAGCATGCAAAATGAATGAAAGCATAACAGTAAGTGCCCTTACATTGTGTATTTATCTGGAATGCAAAATATTCTGCATAACTTCTTGTGTGGGATTTTTAGTTGTGGGAGTTGCACCATATTCACAGCCACCTTTCATTTGACCTTTAGAATAGTAACTTTTAAAAATAAATCTTTGAAGAGAAAGACAAGTAAAGTCTTTGGCAAAACATTTTTCAGTAGCAAGGGCCAAAGAAAAGGATTGTTTCCATGCAATTGTGTTGTATGTTTATAGAACAGAATGTAACTGCTTTGTTAGGCAAAGCATACTTAGAAGCAAGTTTGTTTCTAGGCCCTTGGTGTTGAATCTGAATGTATTATCTTCATCTTCATTTGAAAGGTATATCCAATTCTTATGTACGTGCACTTCTGGAAAGCTGGTGGGAGCTGGCAGCAGTTTTCCCTTTAGAAGTGGTCTCTTGTATCCAGTGCATTCATCTTCCTTTTTTCTGTGTCTTGTTGTTGTTGTTTTTTTCAACATATCAAGGCTTCTAAGCCTTGCCACTGTGGCACAGTGGCCTGCCTTGACCTGCACTGCTCCGACTCAGCTAGGTAGCAAGAGGCAGTGGAGAAGCCCAGAGCTGGTCTGTGGAAAGTCTTTCCATGCCCAGCACCCAGCCACGCCAGCTTCCCCTTGCACCCTTTCCCCCATCGCCCAACTGAGCAATAGGGCAGCAATTTAAAAGCCAGTGGCTCAGAGCAGGAGCTCTAGGAAAGTCTCTTCAGCTCAGCTCTCCCTTGCAAACCTGCCATCCAGCTGAGTGGCAGGGTAATTTCAAAGCCAGAGGGTTCAGAAGTGGAGCCTTCAAGTGCTTTCTTTAGCCTGGCTTGGAGCTCCCTGTGAAAAGGCCTTTTGTTAGCCCAGCTTGCAGCTCCCTTTGGTACTACACTTCAGCTTTGTTTTGGGGAGGGTGGCGATTTTAAGAGCTGGCAGCTGGGATTGGGGTCCCCGAGGCCCATGCTCAGCTGCCTGATTTTAAATTGCTGCCTCACCACTCAGCTGGATGGTGGGATGTCCAGGGGCAGCTAGCAGGAGCCAGCTTGGGGAGACTTTTGTGTAGAGCCCTGCTCTTGGCCACTTACTTTGAAATTGCTGCCCTGCTGCTGAGGTGGGTGGTGAAGGTAGCAAAGTGAAGCTGATGGGGCAGACAAAGGCCTTTTTCTTCCCCAAACCAGAGACTGCCCAGACTGGGGAAGAGGCAGGGAACAGTGGTTGCTCTTCCTCTCACCACCTGAAGTAGGAAAAGGTGGGTAGCAGTTGCCCTGCATGCCTTCTCAAGACCAAGGTGACTCTAGTCTCATGAAGGCAAAGGAGCCTTTCCCCTAGCTCCACTCTTTCTGGTCCCCAGGAGGAGTTAAGCTGTGGGAAAGTGTATAGATGTTCAGTCTCCTGGGAGAAACTCTTCCACCAGGACTGATTTAATCCTGGTTGTTTTTTCTCCCCAAGCTAGCCATTCTTTCTCTGGAAGAAAGTCTGAATGTCGGCATACTTTTATTCTGCTCGGAGAATGGTGATTCTCCTGGTAGGAACTGAATGTCTGTACCTGGCCTAAGACTTACTTGGTTTGGAGGGACAGTCTTATGTAATGCAATTGAAACTGTGCAGAAGTATGAAATTAAAAAACAAGACAAAGACAGAAAGAAAGACATCTCATCAGATGTCTCTAACAAAATAGGTTAGAGGAAATGTTTGGAAATATGTTCAAAGGCAGCTTGTGGAAAGGTAGAGGAATTCAGAAGAAAGGTTGCATGTGTCTACACTGGTTCTGGAACTAGCATCATTCCTGCAGAGCTGGTAAGGGAGAGAGGTAGAAATTAATTTATGTATTTTTATTCTTCTTCCCTTGCACCATGATTACTTGTGCAGCTTGGAGTAGGGCAGGATGTGGCCTTAAACTGTGGTTAGTCAGGAAGATGATTATCTAAAAATGGCATGTTTTTAGTAAATAAAACTTCTTCCTCTGTTTATTTAAAGCTAGAACTGATAACTTCTATAACAAAAATATGTTTTTATTCTTAGGTCTTTAGAACCAATTTTTAAGAAAATTAAATGGAACTGTGAATTGTTTCACTTGCAGAGTCAAATTTTGCCATCAGTCACATGTGCTACTGCTTTGAAGGCTGTAGGGTTGGATAGATGCAACTGAAGGCACTTGAGAACAAGGCTTACAAAAATAGTTAATGCATTAATTAAATTAGTATTTATTAATAAAATTGAATAATTATTTGTTAGCTATGTATCCAAAGGAAAGAACAAGATTTGACTCCTAGTCCTCATAGAGAATTCTTACTGATATCCAACCTAAATTTCCTTTGTGGAAATTTAAGACTGGCACTCATCTTTTCCCCAGAGACATAAGATAGCCTATCAACATCCTCTTTATAACCATCCTTCAGGTATTTGCAGACTGTATCAAATCTCTCAGGCCGGAGCCCCTCCTTAATCTTCTTTTTCCCAGGCTAGATAAACCCAGTTCTTCCAGCCATACTTCACAAGTTCTGTTTCCCGGTCCTCTAATCATTTGTTACCATCTGCTGAACACTTCCTAGTTTGTCTACAGCTTTCTTAAAGTGCAGTGACCAAAACTGAATACAGTACTGCAGGTGAGGTCTCACCAATGTTGACTAGAGCAGAAGGATTACTTTCTTTGCAAGCAGCACTCCTATTAAGAAGGTCCAGTATGCTATTGGGGTTTTTTTGTTTTTAGTTTGTTTTTGGGTTTGTTTTTGGGGGGGCGGGGTTGCCACAAGAACACATAGTTTCTGCCACATTACCTAATTTGGATTGCCCTAATCTGCATTAATGTTAATCCTTATTCAATGAGGATTACTTAATTCAGACTGGAGCCAATTTTAATTCGGACTACAGACATCCATTCAGACTATAGTGATGGCTGTAGTCTGAATTAAACATATGAAAACGTATGTCTTCCTAATGTACTGACTTTAGACTAGCAGGGCTAACTACCTCTCTTGGTCCTTCATTCATAATAGTGCATATTTTATTATATCTTGTTAGCTGTAATCAGTGTCCCACATTCTACAATTCCTGAGCCAGAAAATTTTGTAGCAGAATTGTGCTTCAGAATTTAAACTTTAACTAAAAGCAGTATTTTGCTACTAACTGTTATGAAGATAATTCTTATATAATAACAGGCGTAGTCCGTCTGTCTGTCTGTAACGCTCTTGGAGCACTCTGGTTAGTGAAACAACCAATCAGAGTGCAGAGCACCACCATGACAGAGGGTACAAAGCCGGGTGTGAGGTTAGCTGTGCTGGAGGTGGTGGCAGCGTGGGGTGGTGGGTGGTGGCACTCCATCTTCCCCCTCCCGCCCCCCTGTCATTCTTGACGGACAATTCACTAGTTTGAAAATATCTGGCTATGGACCAATACAGTGTGTTTCTTGCCAGCAAATAGCTTCTTGTAGGTGGCCTGAGATGATATATATGACCAGTATGAACCAACCTATTCACTTCTAATGGGAAATTTAAAGATTGCCATCTTGAAGTCCTTTTTTGTTTTACCGGTAACCGTCTGGCAGAACCAGCTTGTTACCAAATTGCTGCCATACCTTCCCTACTAGAAACTACACTACCTTTTCTGTTGTCAAAATTCTCCACTTGCTAAACCACTTTCTTTACATTAATAACACAAAAAACTGTCTAATATTTAATTCTGAAAATCCCAAGATGCAGGGGACGTTGCATTTAATACAAAAATGGTTACTGTATGTGTCCTGTGCTTATTACTTGTTAATTAATTTAAAATGAAGTTGACACAGAATTTTCAGTTGGCTGCACTAAGAATGCATGCTTTGCTAAGGAACTGGGGTCAAGATGACTGCTGAATCTTTTACACCTCAACTATAGTTTAAAAAATGAAGATGTCTGTTCTATTTTGAAAAAGTTGATAGAAGGCGTAAGTCCCGAGGATATTATCTTTTAATAAGTTAATTGAAAATAAGGTACTCAAGTCAGGGGTTGGCACTCTACAGCCTGTGGGCCAGATGTGGCCCCTGAAGAAACTGGATCCAGCCTTTAGCAGCTTGGGGAATCAGGACCATGCTTCAGCCATGGCAGCAGAGGTGTCATTCCTGGGGATTGCCTACCGTGTTCAGTTTCTCTTTGCTGCAGCAGAGGTGGCATCTGCCAGGCAAAACACTTGTGTTTTTCCTACACAGTATTTGCAGATCTCTTTGAAGGAGAGTTTCAAGGGCAGCAGCAGCAAGAGCTGGGTAGTAAGTAGTGGCCTGAGGAGGCAAATAATTTTAAATAGAAAAGTGAAGCAGAAAATTAAAACTGTAGTCTAATAAATAGGCATCTTGTATCTCAATATATAGTTTAATATAGATGAGCCACAGAACTCTAATATTAGACAGAGTTCATCCCCTGGTCCATGAGAAGAGGGGAGAAAATGTAGGTGATATGGAAAGATTTTTTTTTTTTTTTTTTATTGTAGAACAGCCGAGTCAGGCGTTTTGCTTTTGAACTCAAGATGCAAGACAAGAGTAGTTATCTTCTAGCTGCAGACAGCGAACTGGAAATGGAAGAATGGATAACCACTTTAAACAAAATTCTCCAACTAAACTTTGAAGCTGCAATGCAAGAGAAAAGAAATGGAGAATCTCATGAGGGTGAGTAGTATTGCTTAGTGCCTTTGTATTAAACTTATTTGCACAGTACTCGCATCCATACATTTCTTTCCTAAAATAAGAATATGCTTTAGCTGGCAACTACATGCATTTAATTTTTTTGTACTACTGAAAGTCATGGATCACTTTCTGCTCTCAAGAGTCAGTGAGGGTTCTGCCTTTTTTAGCCTTGTTTGTATTAAAGCTTCTCCTGTGTCATTTTTATTGATTTTAATTAGAGCAATACCGGTACACTGTAGGGGGAGTCTTCACTGCTATAGGTGCACTGAGTTAAGCCGTTTTTCTTTGTGCTGATTTTTACTCTCATAGTACACTGGCATACTTATTCTGTGTGTTTTACTGAGGTGTACCATAGCAGTGGCAGGAACTGTTGGTAGACTCTCTGAATTCCAGATGTTTTTCACAGAGGCATTTTCTACTGGGGGGGGGCAGAAAGTTAGAGTAGTGCAGCTTTTGCATGTTCATAAGCCCTTCAATCTAATTAGATTGAACCTTAGGTGCTATGTATAGTGTTAAACTTTTAGTGTCGGTGTAGAGAAACAAAATGGAAGTAGCTCCTGCTTTATTGCATAACAGAATTTCAATAAATTCCTTTGCTGAATTAGGAAAAGTGGACAGGAAGTAGTTGCATCAAAACTGAAAAAGTGGGCAATCACTCAGAGTTCTTTTCAATTTTATAATTAGCAAAACTTACTACTGTGAAGGAAGTAGTAATTACAGTCATGCACTAGTTGTTGAAAATAAAACCATTTTCTTTAGTTAACAACTGTTCAGTTATAAAATTGTTCACTGTATTATTGCAGATGATGAACAAAACAAAATGGAAAGCTCTTCATCCAGTTTAGACAGCTACTTCCCTGAAATAACCAAGGTACTGTATTCTTCTGCTGTAGCTTGTATCAGTGTTTGGCATCCAAAAATAACTATTTGTTTCTGTCATGGAGGCACTTGGTATCCTATTAAGTTATTCCTCTGAGTTCTCTGTCATGGGGGTTGTCCTCTTAGCACTTACTACTTCATAAAGTTCCTAAATCCAAGTTCCCAGTTTCTACAATGTTAACTCCTCTGCAAGACAATGAAAGTAGTACCTTGTTCCATGTACTAAAGAATACTTTGGTTAATTGGTTATTAGCCAGGTAAGTGCTTTTGTGTATAAATAAAATGCTGCATGGTTAAGTGGCTGAATTATAAAGCTGGCTTGCTTCTCAAATAATATTTACCTTTTCTGAACTTCTGAAATGATTTCCTGTTAACTTCCCATATTTCTGAACTCATGACTTAAAGCTGTGAGCTATGGGACTCTTCAGCCTGGAGAAGCACAGGCTCAGGGGTGACATGATGGCAGCCTATAAGTATATAAGGGACATGCATCAGGATCTGGGGGAACGCCTGTTCACCAGAGTGCCCTAAGGGATGACAAGGTCCACTGGTCACAAACTCCTCCAAGACCGTTTTAGGCTGAACATAAGGAAGAACTTCTTTATGGTCCTAGCCCCCAAGACCTGGAATACACTTCCCCCAGAGGTGGTGCAAACACCTACTCTGAACTTTTAAGAAACATTTGGACACTTACCTTGCTGGGATCCTTTGACCCTAACTGACTTCCTGCCCCTGGGGCAAGGGGCTGGACTTGATGATCTTCCAAGGTCCCTTCCAGCCCTAATGTTTATGAAATCTATAAATCTTTTATTAGACCAACTAAAATAGTTGGAAAAATTCTTCTTTGCAAGCTTTTGGGTACAAACACCCTTCTTCAGGCAGAGGAGGCCTCTGCAGTTGTTTTGTGCTCTTCCTAGATGGGATAGAATAGAAATCCAGAGGCTAGTATGCAAGAATGCCAGCCAGTGAAAATGCAAATTGTGGCAGACAAATGGGTGAGAAACAGGCAAGGTGCAGGCATGGGAAATGTTGATCTGGTGGTAAGATGCAGCTGGTAAATAGTAGAGATGTTACCTGGGGTATCAGATGTTAAGCAAGTTATGTGCCATAAATCCAATGTCTATATTTAGTCCATGTTTTTTCGTATCCAGTAGGTTGATGAAGTGAAGTTCATAGGCTCATCTGCAAAAAGTGTTTTTAAATTCCCTTTGAGGATTAGAACTGAGGGATTGGAGAGAGAGTGGTTATCTTGTGAGAAATTTGCCTCCACATTTCTCTGTGTGCCCACATACTCTTCCTGGATGGGATAGAATAGAAGCCTCTGGCCCATCCAGAGTACACAACAACTGCAGAGCCTTACTCTGCCTGAAGAAGGGTATTTGTACCCAAAAGATTGCAAAGAAGTTTTTTCCAACTATTTTAGTTGGTCTAATAACAGATATTTGTTTTCTGGGTCTTCTTAAAAGCAAATTAGCTCCTTTATATGCATATGTGTTCAGCATTTTAAATATTTACATTCATGTAAGTTCCATTTGCACTTTTATCCTAAAGTATATTAATAGGCTCAATTGAAATGAATTGAATTTGACCAAGGAAAAAAAAAAAAGTAGCAGCAGCAATTTCCACAAGTGTTTCAGCTCTCAGGAGACTGACAGTATGAAAAACTTTCCATCAGATGTAGCTTATATAAGGCTATAATGTACATTAGACAGCAAAGTATGCTTACATGGTAAAGTTTTGAAAGGGAATTAGATGGTGAATTCCTAAGTGTTACTCATCTCATTACTAGTGGGGTGGGTTTTCATTACATTGCTATTCTGCTGTTATTTTGTAAGTATACACCGGCAAGCTACTGCTCAAAACCACTCCTTCGTACCACCCCCTGCTTATAGAGTAAGTTTAGAATGATATTGCATCTATTATAGAAAATTATTTTAGATGTATAAAAGTAAAGCTGTTATACGTTGCAGCCCAAAGTAGGAAAAGCCAAATCTTTAACTCTGTGGACACGTCTACACATGCAGTTTATGCGTTTGAATTTACTGTGCAATAAATTCAGCTGCATTAAACTGCTCCTAGCCTCACGTCTACACGTGCGTCCAGGTCAGGAGTAAGTTGAGCCCAACGAACAACCTAGTCTGACTCTGGGGCGGCTTCCAGCCATGCGATCTCTGGGCCATCCCTGAGCTCTGGGTTCAGGTGGGAGCTGACCCTGAGCTCCATGCAGTTGGAATGGAAATGAAATTATCTAGATTGAGGCCCTATCAACATTTAAAATATAAATTTTTCCCTTGCACCATTCTAAAGAATTGAAGTAACTAGTTACGTTAATCTGTGAAAAACCTATTTCATCTTTCATATCTTCCATAACCTTTTTATTTTCCATATAAAATCTAAAAATGAATGTTCAGAACTCGAGATGACTTTGGAATGTAGTTTTTTTTGGTCTATTTAGCAACTACATATTAAAACATTTTAGTGCTAGAAATGCTAATTCCTGTTCTATGAATTTCTGATGGACGTTGCATTGGCTCTTTTTCCTATATATTTGTTTCAGTATCTTTTCTGCTAGGTTGTCTGGCAGATACATTTATCCATTCCACTTTACATTTTTGTTTTCTTCAAAATAATTCTCCAGAACCTCTTGTTTCTTCTGTCCTACTCTTGTTCTTCCTTGCTAGTTAAATGAGATCTTGCATAGCTTCATCTGATATTTTCCTTCTAGAAATCTACGGGTTTTTTCTTGTTCGGAGACACAAAAAAAACAACTAATTTTGTAACTTTTCAGTACGGCACTAGCTGAACTTTTACTAAACTAGGTCTACAGTGTCAGATTCTCTGGGGTCTTTAACCTCAGTTTTTCACCTGCATCATATTTCAGTTTTAGTTCACTGCTGCTTGCTGTAAATGATATATTAATCTATTGCTTCCCCTGTAACAAGATGCCAGGCAACTTCATGTAAGGCACTGGGCTGTCTTTACTTGCTAATTGGTGCTCTGCTTTTCTTTTTACATCCAATTCTTCTGTTTCCTATCACTGCCTTTTTTCTTGTAATAGAATTATTGCCAAACAGGATACGATGAACAGGAAGACTGTTTTGGTACAAATATACTTTACAATACTCAACATATGCTGCTTCTAATGTTGTATGTTAACCTTTTAAACTGGTACGTTAGGCTTATTGCATTGTTATAGTAACAGATGTTACATGCTTCAACATTTCCAGTAGTTTTTAAAGGCTTTTATCACTATTAAATATTAACATTCTGGATAAGTCTTATTTAATTCTAGTGATCATTACTTAACTACACGCAGTGGATGTGACAACTTCATTAATGTAACTTTCCATTCCCCCATATTTTAGGAAATTACGGGGGATGGGTGTCCAAATACCTAGAGAGCAGAGAAACATTTAGGGGTATTTTTTATTTTTAATGCTTCATTTTATCTGTAAAATAATAGGAGCTTTTGGTAGGTGTCTATTTACCTCCCATTCCCAGAATTTCTGAGTACCTCACTTCAACTTTGTGAGGTAGAAGTATTACAATTTTCATTTTATAAATGTAGGAAGCTAGGGCCCTCTGGAGCTGTGTTGATTTTACTTCAGCTTTTGCCCAGTAAGTGGCAGAAACTGCTTTTATCATATTCTCACATATATAATGTGTACACCAATTTCCAGCAGCTGCTTCTTAGGGGAAAAGCTTGTGTTGTATGTGATTTAAAATACACTGTATCTTTCAAGTGCTATTCATCTATTTTGTCTCTTCTTGACTGTCTCCCTTTCACTAATGTAAAATAGTGGCCAACCTTTAATTTCCTCTTTTTTTTTTTTTTTTTTTTGGCATGTCCAAATGCTTCATGTGACCAAAATTAAACTCCTGATCTTTCCCTCAAAACTCTTCACTATCTCCCCTTTCTCAGTCACTGGATAAAACCCTAATATCCTCTCAGTGCTTTAAGTGTATGCATTTTTTTCCATTTTTGACTGACTTGTTTCTTTGATCTGCCTATCTTGTGTCTAAATCCTCTATTTCCTTTTTGCACAGTGGTTAGGTACAAACACTACAGATGAACAAGTAGAAGTGGGAAACCAATCTAAATCTGTAATGAAACAGAGGTTTAGTGCATATAGACAGGTTTAAAAATGGTGGAATCTGGTCTAAGGTAGACCTGGTTGGATGTAGTATCAAATTTAATTGATTTAGATTAGACTGGTCTATCAGACTTCTGTCTCCAAAGTCCAGATTTTCTTTTTGATTATACCTCCAGAACTTGAGTTGAAGCATATTTGTTGGCTAGTGTTGTCTCTCCCTTTCACAGAAGTGCCTACAGTTTCAGTCCCCTCAAGTACATTCAAAATACTTCTGTCACAGTTGTCTCCCTAGATTATCATCAGGGATCCAGGTTGAATGCAGACTTTCTCCTTTATAGGAGAAAAACCTGGGAAACTGCAGGTTTCCCCTTGTAGGCTAGCAGAGTTCCAGCCTGCAAGGGACTGCTTGGGGCTGGGGAGAGTGGGAGGAGGCTGATCAGATGCATGGGGCACCATGAGTATGTGTGAGCGCGACCACATGCATGTGGCCAGCAATACAGCTCTAGGCAGTGTGGTGGAGAGCAGCTCCCCCATCTGACTGCAGGTAAGTTTATGGCAGGGGGGCATAGGCAATGCATGGCAGGAGGGGGTGAGGTGTGCAGATTGAGGCAGCGGTTCATGCCAAACCCCCATAGTGAGGAGGGAGTGGGGCAGGGTTGGCAGCTGGGGGTGCTGCTGAGCCAGGACAGTGCATGGGGCCCAGGGCCAGATCAGGAATGTGTGGCTATGGAGCCCAACCAGGGAGCAGGATGGGACCCCAGGCAGCCTGTTGGGGGGTGTGGGGGGCTGGCTCCCCACCACTTTGTGCACTCCCAGAACAGGGTCAGGGTCAGGCTGATGCCCACGGGAGGCATGGAGGGGCACATGCCCCCCCCCCCCCCCCCCAATTTGTGTGTCCACAATAGGACACAGGGCTACAGCCTGGCTAGACCTGCATGAGGCCACCTCCACAGCCTAGCTGGTAGGACCCAGTGTGGGAGGGCATAGTGAGGTGTTGAAACTCATTGCTTCTACTGCCCCCAGGATCTTCATGCCAGCTGCACCACCAGCAGTGTCAGGAGTAGTAGATCGGGAAGGGGGACCACAATGCCCTCACCTCCTCCAGCCACTTGCATGCCAGGACACAGATCTAACCTGGAGGGAAGGTGGGGTGGGGGACAGTGTGGACACCCTGAGGAGAATGGTGGCAGTGGTTGGACCATGGCAACAGAATACAGCTATGGTTGGACACCCCTCCTGCCCCATACAGAACCCCCTTGCCCCACATCCCATCCTCACCCCCACATTGGGAGGCTGGGACCTGGGGGTGGGGGGCAGTGGGTCAGGAGTGTGGGGCACCAGCAGGGCAGGGAAAGGTGGGGGGCAGCAGGTTGGGAGCAACGAGCACTGACAGAGCTGTGGGGGCTGTGGCTTGGGAGTAAGAGGTACCAGCATATCAGGGAAGCTCAGCACCACAAAGCAGCAGTGGGGGGCAGGCAGCTGCAGCTGGACCCACATCCTGGTGAGCAAAGGGGGCAGGGGGAGCTCTGATTTTCTGTGATTAAACTCAAATCAAACACCAAATTATATAGATATTTGGAATTTATTGTATTATAATGATAGAGGCACTGTTAGGCTTTCAAATTGCTTTAAAATTGTAAACATATCAGTACAACATTGTGTTCAGCTGATACCTATATGTATAGTGGTGTTTCATTTTAATCATGGAAAAACACAGATTTTGGAGTTTTTAATCACAGAATTTCGGATTTTTAAATAGAGAAAAACCAGGTTCCCTGTTCATCATTCGGACTAAGGCACTGTCTTCTTCAGTTTCCTCCATTGACTCCTCCACTTTTAGCTAATCAGAATCACAGTCCGAAGACTGTTAAAGTGTTCACAGTTTAGTTTTGTCCCATCATTCCTTTTATTTTACAGTTGACATCTGTTTTTACTTTGCCAGTTAATTGTCTGAATCTCTTTTGTACTCTCATACTTTACCTGGCACATAAGAACAGCTTGAACTCAAATCCACAGAAATATCCAAATCTTTATTCTCCAAGCTCTTCCTCAAAACTCAGGTCTTCTGTAGTGATTATGGCAAACTGTTGCCTGACCCCATGCAGGCAGATTATGTACTGAGTAACTAAGTTTTGTGTATGCTATAATTTTTTTTTAATACCTTCTTTCTCCCATTATCAGCAAGTACTTCCTTGTTTGCTATGGTTCCTCTCCTCCATTTGAGACCTGTAAGATCTTTAAGGAATGGGTTACAAATTTTCTATATTTGTCCAATCCTTCCTAGTCCTGACTGAGGCTCATAGGTGCTGTCACAATAGACATATTACCAGCCAAACTTATTATGTAAGACATTCCTGTAGCAACAGAAGCTGTTGTTGCAAGTGGAAATGTAGGTGGTCTTTGCAGTCATCTGTTAAAATGTAATCCATGCTGTTTTTTCATTTTAAAAAGAGAGAGTCCTGTATTAAAATCATATGTCCCTTTTCAGACGATCACACTTCTAGAGCAGGGGTTGTCAACTGGGGTTATGTGTACCCCTGAGGGTACTTGGGATGGCCCCAGGGGGTATGTGTGGCGGCACGGGGAAGCAGTGCATGGTGGCAGGCACCACATGCGAGCTCCCAGCTCCCCACCACTGCCGTTTACCACTCCGTGCCACTGCTGCACACCACTTCCCTGCACTGCCACATGCCTCCGGCAGCACCCCCGCCCCTCATCTAGAAGGGGGTATACTCCAGAAGGGGTATCCATCAGAAGGGGTACACTCCTTAAAAAAAGGTTGAAAACCCCTGTTCTAGCGCATTAATTGTACTGCATTTCTAATTTGTCTTATGTATTTATCCAACTGTCCAGTGCTCAAGATACACATTTGCCAATTACTTTTAAAAGAAAAAGTATAGAATGGTAAATGAGCTCTCTCATGGAACAGGAAAACTAGTTTTATCTCGGCTTATCACACATTCTATTTTACTTCTGATGTTTTTTTCTTTTAGTACTAACAAATAAGTGCTCATAATTCCCAGTGATTAAACATTCCGAGGAGTACTCAGGACTCATCTCAGCAATAGAAAGTCATAGTTTCATAGTTGGTAGGGTCAGAAGGGCCCTGAGCAGATCATCAAGTCCGCCCCCCTGCCATGGCAGGAAAAAGTACTGGGGTCAAATGACCCCAGCGAGGTGTTCGTCTAACCTCCTCTTAAAGGCCCCCAGGGAAGGAGCCAGCACCACTTCGCTTGGAAGTTGGTTCCAGATCCTAGCCGCCCTGACAGTGAAGTAGCGCCTCCTGAGGTCTAGTCTGAATCTACCCTCTGCCAGCTTGTGACCGTTATTTCTAGTCACTCCTGGTAGTGCTTGGGGGAACAGGGACTCCCCCAATGCCTGCTGGTCCCTTCTGACTAGTTTGTAACAGGCCACTAGATTCCCCCCTCAGCCTTCTCTTGTGGAGGCTGAACAGGTTCAGGGCCCTTAGCCTCTCCTCGTAGGGCCTGCTATAAGTCAATCTATAAATGTTTTTTTTTTTCCTTACCACGCACAGGAAAACCATCTTTTTAGCACTAGGAGGTCAAGGAATTTGCTATGATTGTGATTCTTAACATAGTTAGCTTGTGGCTTCCTGAGTCATCTTATGGCTTCAGTGTAGTTCTGAACTTTAACCTACATGAGAAGATAATTGTGTGTGTGTGTGTGTGTGTGTGCTGGGTGTGTAAAGTAGCTTTGTTAAAGCTATTCAATATTTAAGGATGAAAAGCATTTTATAAGAGCCAAGTAGGATGAATTTTTGGTCATAATTTATGGGAGGTACTTTTTTGTTAGAGGAAAATTGGGGCTACAAGCTCACACTTCACCATTTCTGATTTAAGCATGATAGATAAACCTTAAATTGGGAAGCCACATACTAAACTCAGTGAAGTGGGGAGAGAAAACTTGGATTAAAACTAAATTACTTAGAGCAAAATGTTGCTGGAAAAAGAAAGCTTAAAATCACCCATATTTAACCATGATAATTGCATATATATATTTATTAAAATATAACTCTCTTTATTTTTGACAGAGTACCAGAGAAGCAGAAATCAAATTAAAAAGTGAAAGCAGAGTTAAACTTTTTGCCTTGGATCCAGATGCCCAGGTTTGATATTTTAACAGAAAACCATCTTTTTATGTTACCTGTCATAAAACAGGAAATATTTTAATTTTAGTTTTCTTTTAAAGAAACTTGACTTTTCGGGCATTGAACCAGAAGTCAAGCCATTTGAAGAGAAGTTTGGGAAAAAGATTCTAGTGAAGTGTAATGATTTATCTTTCAATCTGCAAAGCTGTGTTGCTGAAAATGAAGAGGGACCAACAACAAATGTAAGTTCTTTATGTGAATACTTTGTCTTTATGTAACAATCACATACATGGTAGTTAATGCCTTACTATCAGCATTACTTGGCAGTAGATCAAGAAATCTCAGCTAACTATCAGGTTAAACATAGTAACTGGTGTTGGTTAATCCATAAGTTTAAAAAGCAAGAAAACAAAAAGCATACAGCCTTTTCATCTGGCCTCTCTGGCCTGTTTATGAAAGCAGTTTGTTTTTTCATTGTATGTTACATCCTGTACATAGTACAGGAATTTTGGGAATTTTTTGTAATGTATAACTGTATGTCTGTAAAAATTTGCAAATAAATTTGCTGGGAGTGTTCAATGATAACACTTTTACACTTTCTAATGTCTAGGTAGAACCTTTCTTTGTCACATTGTCATTGTTTGATATAAAAAACAATCGGAAGATTTCAGCAGACTTTCATGTTGATTTGAATCACATCTCAGTGAGGCACATGATATCAAATACTCAAGAGCAACTGTTGAATGGCAGTGACGATTGTTTACACAGGGTTCAAGACATTATTCATGAGACCATGTTGCAGTATCCAAAGCAGGTAAGAAAAAACAATGTAAAATTCTTATTTAGGATAAAGATAGAGGTTGTTTTACATGCATTCAAATAGCTTTATTTTCCTGGGTATACAGCAAAAAAGTCTTCATATTTTGTGTACTCTATGTAATTGCTTTCTTCTTTTAGGGAATATTCTCAATCACGTGTCCACATCCCGAGATATTTCTTGTGGCTAGAATAGAAAAAGTATTGCAGGGAAGTATTACCCATTGTGCTGAGCCATACATGAAAAGTACAGATTCTTCTAAGGTACTGTAATGGTTTTAATATGTATTAGTAACATTCTTGGGGGGAAAATAGATACTTTGGATATGTGATACTTCATTATGAAGTATCATAATAAAATCTTCTTAAATGTTGAGACTAGCTTATCTACAGTGCTTTCATAAACTAATTGCTGTTCCATAACTAGACTTGACAACTTGCATACCGTTTCAATGCTAAAACTTCAGTGTGTGTGTAAATTCTGACCAAGATCAGATATTTGGAATTATCTGCATCATTTCAGGTTTCCATTTTTAATTTATTTGTAAAAAAAAAAAAAAAAAATCTAAAATTTTCTAATTTGCATTCTAAACGTTGTACAGTTAAATTCTGTAAAATCAATTATTGGAAGAAATAAAGTAATGTTTGTAGGTGATAGTCATATAGAAGATTATATTTACATGCATCCACATTTTGTTTACTTTCTAAAATGTACCCTTTTGGGGGGGAAATGTATGGTGTTCAGGCATGAGGACTATAGGTGGTAAAGCATCAGCATATCTGATACAGTTCCTGATAGCTACTCTTGATACATTTTTCCAATTTTCCATTGCACAAAATGGAATGGGGAAGAGAGAGTTTCAAACGAGAGTATTATTTAGACAAATGGTGATATTTGCTACCATTGAATATGAATGTTTAATGCATCCTTCTTAAATCATCAAGAAGCAGTTTTTAAAGCGTACTCTGACTAATAGTCAGTGAAAGACTTCAGGAAACAAAACAAAAAAAAAATCACTGAATAATTTTTGGTGTCCCTATATAAATCCCAGAGAGAAGATTGATTTCAGCCTGCAGTATTCTTTCTTTGAAGTTAGTACCCCTCTCTAGAACTGGAATCAGGGGCTGCGTCCAGACGAGCATGGCCATGCGGTATGTGGCACCTCAGACATGTCTATGGCACCACATACCACATGTTCAGGTGTTCTCTGTGCTGCAAGGGAGCATCACAGGGGATATCCAGGGGTCAGAAAAAAACAACAAAAAGGTGGAGTGGCACACATGGAGGCAGCATATGCTATTCAAAACCAGAGCCAGGCTGGTGAGAGCCATGCTCTGGCCACTGGCCAGGCTCCAAGCAGCAAGATTGCCACTGCTGCAGTGCTGGGAGACCCCCAGAACCCCAGATAAGGCTGCTGGGGCCAGCCCAGTGCTGGCCCCAGTCTCCCCTACCCAACCCAGGCTAACCTATCACATGCCAGAGGGTGCACGGCACAGGCATTTCCTGGGGAAAACTAGTGGTGGCACAGAGTGGGCCACTGCTGGTAGTCCGCAGGGAACCAAATGTCCACTCTTGTGTGGATGCAGCCAGGTTGTATTTTATTATAGATGTAGTTCACAACACCCACAAAGCAGGTGTTTATGATGTTGTATTTAACATGTCTGTTCTTAAAGTTATTGATAACTTGGGTTTGGTTTTTTTTCAATTCTTACTCTGCTTCAGGTCGAATTTATTTGTTTGAAAGTTTAAGCAAAATAAAATGAGCGGTGCTGCCAGATCCTATAGACTACCTGCATTTCACTTGAAAGAGTGCATTCCAATGCTGTACTAGCTAGTGGTCACAAAAGAAAAAGACAAAACGGACCCTTTTGGCTGGAGGCAGATTACTATTTCTTCTTTTAGCTTTGTTTCCCTGAGTAGTGCAAATTGGTACTTTGAACAAAGAATTACAGATCAGGGCTCCATACTTGTTTATCTCTGAAGCTACAAGTATAATTCCCCCCATTTTATAAATGGAATAGCTGAGAATTATTTCACGGGCAGGCTGGCAGTGCTCTTTCTATACCAGATTTAAGGCATACTGACTAGGAATGGATATGCCAGATCTGTGGGTTGTTAACCCACACTCCTTTTTATAGCTGGAGATAGAACTCAGGCTGTCTGATTCTCCACATATGTTTATTAAGTCAGTGGTTTTCAAGCTGTTTAGATTCAAAGCAGCCCTCCTTAACTTTTCTGAATTTAGTGGTACCCCATTTAGAATCTAATTTCTCTTGTTTTTTGACTATGCAATAATAATAGAGAAATTCTTCTGTTGCAGAGAACTGAGAAAAACTGCAACAGGCCAGAGGCAGACAAGGTTCTTTGAGTGAATCTGATATCTTTTATTAGACCAACTTAAATAGTTGGAAAACAATTATTAAGCAAGCTTTCAGGTTCAAAAACCCTTCATCAGGCTAAGGAAGTTTCAGCAGTTGGTGTGTGCTCTTCCTGGATGGAATGAAAAGTAAAAAAGCCAGAGATTGGGCTGGTATGCATACAAGACAGGTAGTCAGTGAAAATGTAGATTGAGGAGTCAATGGGTGAGAGACAGGCTGGGGTGCAGGGGTGGGGTGGGGGGAAAGAGAGAGAAGGGGCATGAATAGTGGAGAGATACCTGGGGAGTCAGATGTCATGCAGGTTTATAATGCGTCATAAATCCAATGTCTATATTTAGTCCATGATTTTTAGTATCCAGGAGGTTGATGAAGTGGAAGTCATAGGCTCGTCTCTGGGAAGTGTTTTGTAAGTTTCTTTTGAGGATCAGGACTGAGAGATTAGAGAGAGAGTGGTTTTCTTGGGAGGAATGTGCCTCCACAGGTAATTGGGTATTCCTGTCTTTGATAGATTTCCGGTGTGCATTCATTCTGGTGTGCAATTGTTGTTTGGTCTCTCCTACGTATTTTCCATCAGGGCATTTGGTGCATTGGATGAGGTATATTACATTTCTGACGGTGCAGCTGTAAGATCCAGGGATGCTGATGGCTCTGTTGTGGGGTGTAGTAATAGTGTGGGTGGTGGAGATGTGTTGGCAGGTTTTGCATTTCTTGTCATGGCACGGTCTGGATCCTTTTGGTGTGTTCTGGGCTTGAGGAAGTTTGCTTCTGGTGATGAGGTTCACAAAGTTCGGTACTTGTTTGAAGGCCAGGATGAGTGGCTCTGGGAAGATCTTTTTAAGAATAGGGTCTCTTTCTAGTATGGGTTGCAATTGTTTGAGGATTTTCCGTACAGGTTCGAGGTAGGGGTGATACGTCATAACCAGCGGTGTGCAATTTGCGGAGGGTTTTCTGCTGTACTGCAGCAGTTCTTCACGTGGTATCCGGGTGGCTCTTTCAAACGTGCGATCTATCTCTGGAGGAGCGTCCTTGTTGGGTGAAAGCCTTATTAAGATTGGTGAGGTGGCAATTCCGGGTGTTCTCTTCAGTGCAAATGAGGTGGTATCTGAGGGTCTGGCTGTATATCACAACTTTTTTGGTGTGTTTAGGGTGATTGCTGGTTCTGAGCAGATATATAAAGAATTTGTGTGTGAGGACAAAGCAGGGGAGTACAAAAGAAACGAAGCAGTGTCCTCATTGGTGATAATGTTCTTTCTGGCTTGTAATCCATCCTCACAGGGCAAGTTGATGTACAGAGATGTAACATGGATGGGACTTAATACGGTGTTTGCTGGAAGCTTGTCAATGAGTACAGTTCTTGAAGAAATCTGCTGCAGCTTTCAAACAGTTGGCAGTTTCAGTGGCACATGGGCATAGGATAAGGTCAATATAGCTCAAAACTCCCTCTATGATGGTGCCAGTGCCAAAGAAAATGGGATGTCTTGGGTTGCCAGGTTTGTGGAACTTAGGCGATAAGTAAAAGTTGCCTAGCCTTGGGTCCTGGGATGTGGAAGCAGTTTCTCCTGTTTCCAGAGGTAGTGTTGTTAAGTGGTCATTTTATTCCTCTTGGTCTTGTGGAGTTCTCTCTCTCTAAAACTCTGTGTCTTGGCTTCCTGTGTGTATGCTGTTTTGTCCATGAAAACAGTAGCACCCACCTTATCAGCTTGTTGTATGATAAAATTAGGGTTGTTTTTAAGGGTGATTATGGCTCTGTTCTGCAGGGCTAAAGTTGTAACACACGTGGCGGTGGTGTCTGGAACGCCTAGATTGGGCATGGAGGTAGAAATAGTTTATAAGCAGGTCCAGAGTAGGGCTGTGGCACTCAAATGAAATCCTGGAACTGTCTTTTTGCTGTCTATGGGCCCAGCCTGTGGTGGGTTGATCATTGCATTGCTCCTTGTCATTGAAATAATCCCTCCAGTTTTAGGCATTAAGCATTTTTTAAATATTTTACACAATAAAATAATTACTTATTTTAAGCAATAATTTATTAGAACAGTGAACAGAGACACTTCAGTCTTCAAGAGATCACATACTTATGTTAATTAATAAAAACAAGTTAACTATTGTTGTGAAACAACAAAATTGCATTAAAAAAACTAACAAATTTTTAGAACGATCAATTTTAGGTAAGTGTAAATGTGAATGATATTCAAAAAGAACAGTTCTTTTCTTTGACTTCTGTTCTGAAACCTCAGTCATCCTGAAGTTACTAAACAAACAAACAAACAAAGCAACTATAAAAGACAAAAATCAGTTTTTAAAATGCAATTATGCTAAGCAGGCAGCAGGCCAACTCTTCAAGCATTTTGCTGTTTGCATTTGGAGATGCCAGCAATCATAGCAGATGGCTAGTAGGAGAAGCTTTTTTATGCTGCTGGTTTTGGTACTCTTCCCTCACCACAGAATAGCTTTTGCAGCCTCATGTGGCTTAACGGGTGGAAGAAAAAGTTGGCTAGAAGAGCTCAAAAGAGAGGAGCAGGACACAGGATACCTGTGCTTAAATTGAGTGTTTGTATATATCCTGAATCCTGTAGGACTGAAAAGCAAGGTGTGCAGTCCTGCTGCCTTTCTTAATGGGACACTATAATGCACCAATATGGGTAGACCACCTCCTACACAAAAACCATTTTAGCTTCATGGAATATTTGACAGGAGAATTTTTTTACTATAGTCAAATAATAAGTAGCCAGTTGCCCAATTATTTGATGTTATTTGACTGGTTGATCTCAGGGTACCTCAGGTGCCCTGGCACCTTGGTTGAGAAACACTGTACTACATCCTTCTTAGATACATGCATAGAGTTTACATATGATGCTGGGCAAGGCTTTTTATGAGGAAACCAAATTAAAGTTGTATTTCCAATGTTAATTCTTTTATGCAACTTTTAAATGCTCAGTTTTGTGAATGTAACATTCTGTTAGCTTAGGGTTCCTATATGTAATGCCATATACTTTATGACACCTAGAACTCTCGTGCATACCTTTCTGATCCAAGTGATGCAATTTCTTACTGTCAAATCCCTGTAGAGTTTAGTAGGATCTTAAAGCACATTACCTCAGCATTGCATTTTATTACATTCTATCTCATTTGTTAATTTCATGCAGTTTGATAATCGTTAGAAATGTTTGTACAATTGCAAATGAACATGTAACAAAACATTTCTTCCTCCTTGTGGGAGATATTGTAAATAATATTAACAGAACAGCTGTGGAAGGCACCTGAATTGCAAAAATAAGTTCCCTTCCTGCAGAATCAATATAATGCCAGAGAGAGGTGATGCAATTAGTTCAGGGAAA